TCCGGTCACACCGGGACCAGCGTCCGGTCAACATTTGATCCTCCATTCACTTCCAACTCGAAATCATATGTGAATGAAGGTTGCTCCAATTGATCTTATGACTACTTAGGAGCTACCTAGTGCTAGATTTGACAAGTGTGCACCACACCTAACCCACTAGACTCACATAGGTCAAGTTACTAGTCCATACCCCCTTTAATAGTACGGCCAAAGGAAAAACAAAGTCATAAATTACTATAAGTGTCTCTTCAACACCAAACGACACTTAGAACTAGTCTATCCTTAACCTTGTCGTTCATCCTTTGAAAACCGAAACGATTTCCATTGTAGGGGTATGACAACCATGATTGCCCAATCAATTGCCATTACCATGATCTAACTTAATTGCCTCTGCAAAACACATATTAGTCATAGTAATCACGTATTGTCATTAATCACTGAAACCCAACTAGGGGCCTAGATGCTTTCAATTATAATGCTTAAGATCCACCCCACTTCAGTGGTAGTAGAATATCCTGCTAGGATTTAACAAGACCATGCTATATTATTTTGCCATTCACGGTAAGTCCAGGATATTTCTTCTTCATGAAGGTATTCATATATCTTTATAACTAAATCATATGCATATAGGTTTACTACGTGTAAACAAGTAGCGAGGTGCAAAAATATTATGGATGGTTATGCAAAATATTTTTAGAAGCATCCTAGCATTTTTTAGATTATGGTATATGCGAATTTTCAGAATTAATACCAACTTATTCATTCATCCCAAAAATTAATTATGCTAGGAAAAACAAATATGAGTCTCTCAAAGGTGATAAGTCTAAGATCTGTAGGATTTAGAAAGTTCATATACTTTATACCGTGTTTCTAGTGTAATCATTCATAATTTTATTCTTTCAATTACATGATATATTCATAATGTGTGATAAATAAATGCATTCAAATGAGCGTTAAAAATATCAGCACACGTCCGTTATACATGAACATAAAAATAAATATTCTGAATGTATATAAACGGAGAACTTTCACTGTTAAACACAAACACATACGTTTCTTCAGGAAATTCAGATTTCAATAAGGGTTTATTTTATTAATTCAATGCTCTATGCTATTTCTAAATGCATATGAGCTTTACTGCAAATGCACACACACGGTGATGACGCCGAAAGCTACAGGCAATCCGGCTTTAAGTTGGAAATCTTCTCATCCATTCAAACAGTAGCCACAGCGGAGAATTAGCTATATAAGACTGTCTCCAACGCCGAGAGGCAAACCCAAAATGCGTCCCCAACAGTGCTTTGCCTATCCGAAAACACCATCCAACGGCCAACCCAAACCCGTTACCCATTTTGCCTACCGAAGCAATCAATACGCAAAAAAGCATCGCCTCTCTCTTCGCTACGCAAATCGTCCGCGCTCGCTCGCGTCCGAGGTGGCCCGCTCCCGCACCGTTGGGGAAGAAGAAGGAGAGGGAGATCCGCCGGGCGTGAGTTCCGCCGAGCCGCGGGCGCGGACGCGAGCTCCGTCGGGGAAGAAGAAGGAGAGGGAGGGGGCCGGATCCAGGCGCGGGCGCGAGCTCCGCCGAGCCGCGGGCGCGAGCTCGGCCGGGGGAGGAGGCCCCGTCCCCGCGCCGCGCTCCTGGGCGCGAGATCTGCCGGCGTCGGGGACGGCCCGCGCGGCCGCGGGGTTGGACGGGGTGCTCGGGGCGGCGCCCGCGCTGCCGGCGTCGGGAAGGCACGGGTGGTGGCAGCCGTCCTTGCCGGGGTCGTCGTCGGAGACCAGGAGGCAGTGCAGCTGCAGGCTGGAGGTGATAGCGAGCGCCCCGCACGCCGCCCTGCACTCCAGGTCCTCCTTCCGAGGAGTTCGACCTCTTCGGCTCTGGATCGGGACGTTGAAGATGAGGAAAAGAAGCGTGGGCGTCCGGCGGTGTGGGGCGTGGATTTGGGTCTGTCCGTTGGAGCGGAGATATTTAGGTCCGTGATTTTTTTTTTCTGTAGACGACCTATAATAACAAATGGGTATCATATTTGGGTCCCTTCGTTGGAGTCAGTCTAATAACGTCAGTGAGCTCATGCTGGAGTTGCAACAACCTCAAGGTGGAGTCAACCAAACACATTCGGTGCGGACTGGAGACTTCCTTTATTCAGAACACGAGGCTGGGTTCTTCGACTGTTCAGCATGTCGCTGATGCCTGATGGAAGCTGTGCAGCGGTCTCGCACAAATAGTAGGTTGTGGCTTCAAGCCAGCAGAGATAGCGACGAGGAACTATACAGGCTCATTGCAAACAAGCCGAAATACTGTTTCAGCTGATTTATTAAGAGAAAAAAATATTATTTTAATTAAAAAAACAAACTAAAAAATACGGATTCTAAGAGGTTCACTAAGAAAAATCGACGTAATAGATATGTTCGAGAACCTTTTGATATTTCAAAATCAGATTTTTTTTTTTTTTTTTAGTTGCAGAGCCGCATGCGGGCGGCCAGAAAACACGAGTCTCAGCGTGCAAGCAGAAGACAAGGGCGATGGGGGCTGTATGCTAAGGTGCACTCCAGGGCCTCCTAATGCGATGAGTCCGCTCGGCGTACGGGTTGCTGCGAGCAGGCTGCAATGCTAGTGCGCGACTTCCAGCCGGCAATGTAATTTTGCGTGGATTATTGCTAGGATTTCGGTTAGCGATCAACGCGACTTCAAGTCATCAATTCGTATATGATCGATCGAGATGATGTAATAGCAGCGACTTCATGTCGTGTGCTGCAAGGACTACAACCGTGTGACATGACATCAAAAGTGTATGTGCACGTTTACGTAATTTCAATCTTCATGTACGCATGCATTGTATGTACTTCATGTACAATCAACATGCATAACTTAAATACGTAGACCGGCTCGATGGCTGGCACATCTACTTTACTTGTCGCGTAGGACAGTGGTTAGTAGATACATATTTTATAGGACGTTTGGTATTGTCGTAGAATCGCCGCTTGACTATGACGGTACATGTCGGTGCATATTAGTTGTAGTAGAGACAGTAGATCCGTTCCGCTAACAACGTCGGGGATGTCGACGTCATCGAAGTAGTCGCGGCGGGACGTCGACGGTACAAGCGCCGGCATCGAAGAGCGGCGATGGCTTCAACGACGATGTCAACAAAGAGCTCATCGTGCTGATAACGTGTTATAAAACATGTTGCTAGCGGTTATGACATTTCCCTCTCCATCAATATAGTAAATGAAAGTAGAACACATAGACACAAGAGATATGTATACTATTCTTTATTTCTCTAAATATTGGTAATTACAACATAGAATTCCCACATATATATAGTCTTACCAAAGTCTAAGAGTTTAATAAAAACACACATAAACAAACTGATTAGAATTCCTCGTTCTCTTTCCTTCTACGTAAATTCCCTATGTTTTACGACATCCACCGCGTCTCCACGGCTGCTTTTTCATTTCTTCTAGCCGCAGTGGATTCTATCACAAACTTTCCATCCATCGTCACAATAAAAACTGCTTAGTCATCATCCTCAAACGAAGCAGCACGCAGCACATTGATTTGGTTGTCATCATGAAAAAAAGATGGCAACGGTCCCGATACCCGATGGATATTTGATCCATTAAGAAACGAGGATGGAATCATATATTTACCCGTAGGCATCTAAATGGGCAAGAATCCATTCCCGACGGGTATAATGGGTACGGGAACGTTCCCTATTTACCCGTCCCCGTTACCCATTGGGAACCCAACTATTTGAGCTGTCATGCGAGTATTATGCCCAAAGAAGCTTAACATAGGTATTTTGGTCCAAATCTGAACAATCATATATATAGTTTGTATATTCTAGTTACCCTAGTTTAATTTTTCCTCACCATCTCCGTCAGCAGCACAAGCACGCCTGCCTCATGAGCGCTCGTGCCCCTCGCTTCCTTAGTTCGGTCTCTCTGCCACCTTTGCTCGTCGTCCTCGCAACCTCGCTCCTTCTCTTCGGCATCTCCGAGACTCCGACACTTATACCCGGGTGAAGAAGAAACGTCTCCGATTGCAAAGTTGCGACCCCAAGTGTCATTGTTTATCGGGCATGTAGTACCCGTCGGATATCTGTTACCCGACATGTATGAGGATGGGCAAGAATCTATACCCGAGACAGATAACGGGAATAGGGACGGGATGAACTCTCCGTAGGAGAGAAGAAAACGTTCTGGCGATACCCGACGGGTACGTCCCCGTTGCCATCCATAGTGATCAGAACACGTCGCCGATGCGATACGGCGGTGATACGGCGTGGCCGGACGCCGCCGCACAGCCACACGAGCACGCAAATAAATAAGAGCACGCACCGCCACCTGCCCATGCGGCCATGTCCGTGTCCCCACCCGAGCCGTCGGCACACCTCGAGAGCGCCACGCGCAGACAGGAGTACAGGACGCACCACGTGACCTCAGCCGCGCCCACCACCACCACGGCGACTTCTCCTGCCTCTTGTGCTGGGCCGGCACCACGGAATGCGAGCGGATTCAAAATTCAAATACCCGTTCTCCCTGTTGACGTTTTGTCACGGTCGCCGTCCGTCCCCCCTTTTGAACGTTTCAAAGGACCTCAGAGCCGGAGCCGTGCTCTCCCCACCAATTAAGCTCGTCTCGTCCAGAGAGCCTCGTCCGTCGTCCCATTCCGACCTCCCCACCCCCGTTGCTCTGCCTGCTCCGCCGTGCGTGCGTCACCCGCGCTCGAGAGGTGAGTGGTTCGGTTGCGCAGCCAACTGCTCTTGTTCGCTTGCGAGGTTGTGCGGAGTGGTTGCTGGCCGGCAGCCGCGAGGGCGGGCGGGCGGGCATACCGATAAAGGCGAGAGAAGAAGGCGTTGTCTCATCCGTGCTAGCGTCCGTCTCGATCGCTCGTTGTCTCAGTCTCGGCTTCTCGCCTCCTCGCCGGAAGCGGACATCGATCGGGACATAGAAAAGGGAGGGCGGGAGATAATACGCGAGCGTTGTGCGCTGCCATGGACGCGCCCTTCTTCCACGAGCTCAGGCGGCAGGCCTCCTCCTACCTCACCGGCAAGATCCGCTCCGCGCGGCTGGCGCTCACCGACGTCACCCCGACGCAGCTGTAAGTCGCCTTCCTTAATTTGTTACCTGTGGCGCGCCGCGGCGTTCGTTCTGATGGAGGGACGGTCGGTCGATCTCATCTCTTTCGTGCGCGTAGCATGACGGAGGAGGCGACGAACGGCGACGCGTCGCCGCCGAACGTCAAGACGATGGGCCTCATAGCCCGGCAGGCGTTCGAGGTCGACGAGTACGTCAGGATCACCGACATCCTGCACAGGCGCTTCGCGAGCTTCGACCGCAGGCAGTGGCGGGAGGCGTACAAGGCGCTGCTCCTCCTCGAGCACCTCCTCACGCACGGGCCCCGCAGCGTCGCGGTGGAGTTCCAGAAGGACAGGGAGGCAATCGAGCAGATGGCCACCTTCCAACACATCGACGAGAAAGGGTAATAACCGTGCTCTGTCTGACGCCCATACCATACGTACACCCGGTCACCCGCGCGCGTGCTCACCTGATGTTGTGACGCCGATGCGATCCGTGAACTCGCCGCAGCTTCAACTGGGGCCAGACGGTGAAGAGCAAGTCAGACCGCGTGCTCAAGCTGCTGGAGCGCGGCCCGTTCCTGGAGGAGGAGCGCGAGCGGGCACGCAAGATCGCGCGCGAGATCAAGGGCTTCGGCAGCTTCAACCTCAGCAGCGCCTCCCACGCCGTGTCGCAGCCATATCCCGGTGACGATGGAAGCCGCGGCTACGGCCGGAGCAACTCGCAGTACGAGGAGCGGTGGAGGCACGATGACGGCGACGACGGCGGCGGCCGGTTCGGGCGGAGCAACGACTCGCAGTTCGAGGAGCGGTGGAGGCACAAGGATGGCGACGACAGCGACAAGGAGAATCTGATACAGAGCCCGGAGCCGACGACACGGGTCGAGGCGGAGGCGGAGGAGCTGCACCACCACCACCCGTTCCACGGGTTCGGGCAACAGCGGCCGGAGGCGACGCTGCTCCTGAGCCAGTGGACGGGATCAGCCGGTTCGTGTCATGGTGATGTGAAAAGAACCGTGTGCTCAACTAGCTTTTCTCCCGTCCTCGAAGGCTGAAGCCTGCAGGGTCAGTATTTTACTGACACTGCTTGGTGCATCATGCATGAGGACTTCGATGTGCTCATGGTTTCTGTTCGCCATGCGCCATGAATGGCTGCTTGGCCTTGTAAATTTCTATCCTTCAGTTCTGAATTCTGATGCCAGGATGTACTACGAGAGAACATACAGGCAAGTCTCAAAGGTTCTAGCAAAGCTCTGGAAACCACGTATTCTAGGAGTGAGAGAATTGAGATCCTCCTGCCCAAGTGCATCTGGGCTTATCTTTTAGTCTGAACCATATACTGAAGGAAAGCAAAAGGCAGAAGTATTCCTAATCCAGTTCCTACTGACAATCCATCTTCGGTAAAGGCGTAAAGCTAGGGAAAGTACGATAATACAGTCCACACTATCCATTCAGAGCCACTATTGAAGTAACATTTCAAGATTATTATCACAATGAAAGCGCAGCCAGTAAAATTGTAAGATGAACATTGACTAAAGGCCGCTCTATGTATACTGTTTCTACATACCATTTGGTTGCCATTATTGCACTGTTTACCATCACAGGGTTCCAGTAATTTTCTGCCCTATGACCACATCAATACTTGCTAGGGAATGGAGTAAAAGCACGATGGACCCTTTGCTGTAGCACAAAGGCTCTCAAGTTCTGGTCTAGGACAAGCACATGTGTTGCATAGCAGGATGATATGAATAGATTCCTCAGGCAACATAAAAACTACAATGTGGTTGTGGACCAGTGGCACACCTTTTTTGACTCTGCTATCATGCTTGTATAATCATCTGTCCCCAACCAGAGTATAGCATAATTGCCTGTAAAATTAATCATGCATACAGTTCTTTCAAGACCAACCTGTGTACAAAGTACAAACAATCACTGATGGCGTTAGACACAGATCAACAGAAGAATTACTGATTGCCAACCATCTAACAAGCTTGCAAGATTGTCATACTAGGAACTGTCAGAGACATAATCCGACAACTAGTACCAGCAATCCTATAAAGTGCATCGTCTCCGCTAGAAGAAAAAAAAAAGATCAATTGTACGAAAAGGGATGTGTTGGGAGGGTCCACAGTTCCATAAACCAGTAGCTTATGTTAACTCACCTGTCGAAGTAACCAGAAATACTGCAACTTTCTGCTCAGCTTCTGCTAGTTGAATTTCCCCCTCTGGCTATCAGATCAATAACCAGAGATGAGGAGATGCTGCTACCTCTTGAATTTGTATAACCACCAATGCTTTACTGATGTCTGATTGCAGCATATGGCTATGTATTTTACTAGTGCCTTTTTACATTTTACCTTCGTAAATATATAGCTAGTAATATCAGAAAACAGAAAGTACAATAATATACATGGAGCCAACATGTGATCACAAAGTCACACGCTAACTTCCACAGCTGCATCTAAGCCTTTGCTGACATCAAACCTGTCCTACCACTTTGGATCATTTGAAGTTGCTCCAGTTTTTTGCTTTCCCAAGAATTTTTAGCATGTGACATGTCTCCTTTCACATCTTTCAAATCCTTTGATAATACAATTTTACAGCAATGGTAAAGAAAAAGGTAGCTTCGACTAACTGAGCCTACTGTGTTACTACCGTAGTCTTGATATATGGGCAAATGCAAAATTGTGAATATCATAAAGAAAATGGAGAATCATGAACTGATCTTGCCATAAATAAGAGAGAGCAGACCTTGTAACACTGACATGGGCGAAATGATCAGATTCAGATGCTATAAATACTAAAAAACTAGTGGTAAATTCCAGTTCTATATGCAGTATTAATGAAGATAGTTATATCAGAACAGTTGGCTGTACCAATAGTTGACAAGTGCAGTGCATGCGGTAGATCACAATGGTGGTCTTAAGAGCAACCTATAGTAAGACAGCCCTTGGTGACAAGACCTATGAGTGTGCAGGACATAGATGCAAATGCAACAAACAGTTCCTGTGTAGACATTTTTTTTGCTTCTGCGGGCTCTGAGTGAGAAGCCCCACAAGACTAACATAAACCAGTCATCTGTCACTTGTTCATTATACCTATTATTAACATGAATAAGCCTCAAACCACCAGAATACACCTTACATGGTCCAAATGTCCCCCAATGCTACTTTTTCTACATGTCACAAATGGCACTCCATTCCGTTTCTTTGGTGAAAACCACCCAAACTCTACTGTTCACTGGGAACACTTATATGGCAAATGGTATCCAAATATCTCAAAGATCTGCTATTCTGCTCACCTTTTCGAGTGGCAAAGAGGGGGCGCCACACTGAATAGTACTTAGGACTGTAAATCAGTCTTAGTTATATCAGGTTTTATTCAGTTTTCAACTACTCCAAATTGTGCAACAAATCTCATTATACAGCAATGCTTGATTGATCGTGTGGAAATAATTGGTACGGCTTAAGACCTTAAGCCCTTAGATTGCTGCCAATGTTCACTATATAGTCAGCACAAATGATACATGTCCTAGTAGGACTTTGTTACTTAAGTTGTATTAGGTCTAAACCAACTATCTCTAGGATTCTATCTCTAGCTCTAATCATAAGCATCTATAGTCTGAACAGACCGAACTCATGTTTGCAAAGAATAGGTCAAATGTGGTGAGCCATCATAGTCATCCCCAACATCTCATTTCGGGGTTGGGTCCCATGAGGTCATGACTCCTGCAAAGTACGCATGAGCTGCACATGACAGAACTACAAACGAATTATACGCATTGCTAGTGGTCCAGCAAACAAAATTACTGCTCGTGCTGAACACTGCAGCACCACAGAATGCCAGGCATATCAGTCCTAACATGTAGCAATGACATATCAACAAGTATTTCTCACTCTGATATTCTCTCCCTCTGTATGTGGTACTACAGATATTTGATTGGTAGTTGGTACTATAGCGGTGCAGCCTATTGCCCTAATGGGTATATTATGATCAACCACTAAACGTTTGTAATCTCCAAACAAAGGAAAATAGTTTTTACTCCCAACTTCACAATGTGTTGCTAGTCATACAACATTCTATTATATAACTCAAACCAGTAATGACCAAGACACGAATAAAGTGCTGGATCTTGAGATGAGATTCAGTGAGTCCACCTAGAGTGCTCAACGGGAGTATGTAAATTTACCCCACTAAATTTCTTTGGTAGCCAGAGGTGTCTGCTGCCAATAAGTTCCCATAAAAAAGCTTTTACACTTTGGATCTCAGCTGACAACCAACTTGTCATTCATGAGACCTGTTCTGCCACTGCCCACTAGAGTCAAAATAGTCAAGTAATCTAATTCTAACATAGTAGAGTAACTTCGTTCTATCATGAGCATTCATACCATAACGGCATTGCAAGATCATGAAAAACTCAGCCAGGGCAGAAGCAACTACCTATACATTCCATGGTGATATATCCCCTCACCCTAGTAATCCGGCTCTATCGAATTCACTCCTTAAGATCTAATCTGACGCAAAATCCCCCCCATTTTAACCTCCAAACTTGAGTTCAAGCACAAATAAAAAGAGAAGGATGGTCAAAATAGAAAATACTATTCATTGTGGAGCAAAAGGATTGCATAGATTTGTACACATGATATTATTTCCCTTTGCCACATGACAAAATGAAAAAGAAAATAGAATAATCAGGTGAAGCAACTTTTTTTTTGCTACTTTGCATCTACGGAATTCTCTCCCCAATCCATCCCTTTCCCGGTGTAGACATTTTAGACAGTAAGAAGTACAAAAACTGAGCACAAGGAAGCAAGCAGCAAGCACGACCAGAATCTCATACCAGAGATAGTAATAGATGCAGCTGTAGATACATGAGTCCTATACACCACCAAGATGTCCCCTTTGCTGTCGCCAAAGCAGCTGAAGACTTGCTATCTTCGCCATGGAGGTCAGGCGGGGATGAGAGCCTCGTCTGTGGTGTCTGCTCGCTCCCGGCGTCGCCGGGTGCCATTGCAACCGAAGGTGGCACCATGGCAGTGCTGCTAGAATCGCCCCGACTGAACATTTCCTTGGGCAGTAGAACCTTGGAGACGGCAAAGACTGCCACAGGATTTTGGTCGAACACTGTGCGGGTGATGGATGCCTGCACGATGCCTGTGTCAATTGCAATGGAGCCATTGACGCGGGTTATGTTTAGGGTGAAGTGGCCAGCCTCGGTGTGCTCTGTCGCCAGAGTGGGCTGGACGGGGTTCACGATGGACTCGAGGGAGCCCAGCGGGTAGTAAGAGTGCAGCACATGGAAGCGGAGCACGACGGCCTTGCGCTCGGCTGGTAGCGACTGGAGGCGGTCGGTGGCGGGGAGGCCGGCAAAGGCGTCGTCGGTGGGGACGAAGACGGTGATGCCAGCACCGTGCTCGTCGGCCTCAAACTCGCTCGCCACACCGGAAGCCTGCAGCATGGAGGCCGCCACGTTGAACCCCCGCGCGTCGGTGAGAACCCGGGTGATGTTCACCGGCGGTGGCGGGCGGGTCTCAGAGGCCGCGAGGTCGAATCCGGAGGGTAGGATAAGGCCACCCACCGCGAGCACGCTGAGATTGTACGGAACCGCGGTCACGGCGCCGAGGACCGTGGCGTTCGATCCCGGGGACGGCGCCGGCGAGCGGACCACGACAGTGGAGTTGGCCCCCACGGTGAGGTTGACGGTGCCGAAGTCGGAGGGCGCGCGGCCCGTGGTCTGAAACAGCGTCGTCACGAGCTTCCCGGAGGGGGAGAGGCGGGCGAGGTCAGACGGGGAGAGGTACTCCAGCAGGACGTGGTACCTCAGCACGTCGGCGATGTCGGCGCCGGCGCCAGCTACGAAAGCCGAGGGTGACTGCGGCAGGTTGGCATTCGGCACGGCCAGGAGCGTCAGGGACGACCTCCCAGCCAGCTCCCCGGCCACGGGGGTGGATGCCAGCAGCCGCGCGAAGTCGGCGAAGTTGGGGAACGCCGAGAGCACGGCCGTCACGTTGACTCCAGCTGCTGGGGAAGGCAGCGCCGCCGCCGCGAGCAGCACCAGCGCCGCTGCCCCGAGCGCGAGGCGCGGCGAGACGGGAGCGGCGCTCAAGCCTCTCCCCATCTCGCCAGTGGAGGAGCAGTGGAGCGGGGACTTGGGACTGGGGAGTGAGGAGCAGATAGATGACGACGGGAGAGGGGAATATTTTTGGTCTTTTCTCCCTCCACCTTTCCTCTTCTCGGTGGTTTACGGTTTCGCTGCTTGAGGTTTTCTTTGCTGTCTGAATGTGAATGAGTAGAGCGGTGGGAATTAATGGCGTGGGTGTGTAGGTGCTTTGACTGTAGCAACTACGCCAGCTCCCAGCCCCGCCAGGCGTTTGCAAAGTTTGTACCATGATGTTGGTCTCGTCACGTGTGCCTTGGTTCTTCTCTTCGGCAAATTGGCTCTCACCGAGTCGTCATTCTAGGCTCTAAAGCTTGGGACCAGTACTCTCCACCACTCTTTTGATGCTTATATCATCCCTTAGATATGCTGATACAATCTAAAAAGCAAAATGTTACTACTACTACATAGGAACACACCTTAATATCGGGGACCCTAAAAATAATGCTCTGATCCCGTTTATCTATAACTTTTCTGCCGCTTTCATGGGCATGTCAGTGTCCAAATTGGCCAAATGAACTGTAAAGGTGGTGCGAGTATGGCTCTAGAAAGATTGCTTTAGTTGATGAAACCTTGATCCAATCGTAAAAGCACCTGGCAAAAAACGGATCATCACAAGCAAGAACAAATAAGCAAGCGAGGAACTCAACTTCATACGCAAGTGATTTCACGAGAAAAAAAAAAGTTCACAGCTCACCAGCTTTCTTTTTCAAGTGCTGGTGGATGGCGTGTATGAAGATGGAAGACCAGCCCTGATCGCAAAACCTGCTTCAAATCACCGCAGTTAACAATGTTGTGGTTCCCACACAATAAACTCAACCAACGAGCACAAAGGCATGAAGAGAACAGATTACCTTCTCCATGATATACATATACTTGGTCATTCTGGCAATATCTCCTACAAATGCAATGCACTAACATACCCTGTTTGTTTCTCCAGTAATAACATCAAGAACAAGAATCTAATAGTATACCACTTACTTTTAGGCGGTTTCCACCTTTGAACTGATAGTGATTGCTTAGTGTCCACTGTCCAACCAAGTAACAGCAAAAAGTAAAAGCAAGGAATGCATTAAATAAGTGACAAAAAAGATGACAATCATTGAGACAGTATAGTTGAGAATTGATCAAAAAGTTAAGCCAAAATAAACAATATTCGTCTTGCTACAAAATTGTGTAGGACTTCTTCATAGCTGAGTAATGTACATGGTACAAGGGATCTTAGTACTACACAAACAGATAAACACTATGGCTGTTAAGGAATAGCCCTAGGTATGGTTACATACATCTATTCTAGACATGGATCAGTGTATTGTTAGTGCCAGGGTTAGATGTAAAGAATTTGACATATCTCAGTCGTCCGAGGCTATACAGCCAGAAGCCACCCTGGGGAGGATGGAATGGATGAGCAACGGTTCAGTAGGGGTGCTTGGAGGACATGGAACATCACACCACCAGACGGCATATGGAGAATAAGGAGTGGGTATGCCATGACGCCAAGAAAGAATTGGGGTCAGTGAATCGAGTCAAGATACAACTATTAGATGCTATCTGGCCAGGATGGATTTGGAGTGTTCTGGTTTGTTTGAACGGCACATGCAATCAGGGCATGGAAAGGTGTATACAGATTCATTTGCTCTTTTTATTTCAATACCCTTCACGTCACTATGTGCTCTCATATTGAACAATTGCCGTTTCAGTGACTTCCATCTGCACACAACCAAAGTTGAAATTGAACAAGTTGAAAATTTCATGTTTTGAGAGTTAAGAATATAAGGGCACTGAAGACAAAGAGAACCAATCGTCTAATAATGACGGTAATGACATACCCAATACGTGAACTATCAAAGAGTATGGCCAATCTTCTTTTATCGGGCTTAATTGTCTTTGCATGGCCGCCATACAAGTATCTTCTATGCCCAATAAGGAAATGAGGGAAATTTCCACCTTGCGTAGTCACAAAAACCTCACTATGAACGCAGACACTGTAGTCAATAGCTGCCATCCTTGAGGAGAAGTTCTGCAGACATGCATTGCATGAGTAAAGACTTAAAAGAAAAGGTCAGTAAAGGGGGAAAAAATGCAGTTATCCTATATACCTTGAATGGAGCAAGTTCTTCATCCAGTGCCAATGTTTCTTTTGTCTGCAAGAGAGGGAACATTTCAAGGAGAGGAGACATGTTCTTTTCTGCTTTATATATCCTTCCAGAAGCCAAATATATTGCAGTATTATTGCTGAAACCCATTCCACGCAGCATTAATCCAACCTAAACATCACAAATATAAGCATGTAAAGGTTCAGGATCACCTGTTATATTGCTTGAGGATAAAGTTCCTGAAGCTTCCTTCCAAGCAAAAACACCACCTTTTAAGTACAGACATACCTCCAAAGGGGTCAGTGGACATTTCCCATTCATCCTTATTGCTCCAGGCCTTATTACACGTCCTGGCCTAGTAAATTTCCCTTTCCAACCTTTTTCCCTGGCTGCATCCAGTTCCTTCTTCTCATTGTCACCGCCATCAAATACACAACAAGAGAAGGCAACCATGTCCTGAAAAAGGGATGATTAGTGGTTGAGAATTCTCCAGTCTACTCACCATGGACATACCATCAGAAAAGAAAAAACAAGCCGAAAAGTGAACTTGTTTGTTTCATGTACTTCTGATAAACATGGGTCTGAGACCTAGCAGCATCTGAAATATCCTGGTTGTTCATCTACACCCTTGGAATTTTTAATTGTTTCATGAACAATTGAGGATAGAAAACTAACCTCTTCAAAGCGGAGATGCACTGCTACATATTTCCCATTGTTTTCAACACTTTTTTCTCTCATCCGAGAAACTAAAATATTAGATATAGTAGTGATTGGTTTAGAAAATTTTAAGGCTTCAAAATTTGCTAGACATCGTAGACGTTGAACAGCAGGAGGCGCATCGAATGACAGCCGATTCGCAAAAGGTGATATCCTTATGAGCCTGAAATTGAGAGACAAGTTCAAAGTTCACATAAGCAAATAATAACTAGTACTAGGAGATATGACAAAATAGCAGATGGCCTCAAAACTGGAAATCAGTATTGGCTTCAACCAACCTTTCTTCGATCAACTTAGGGAGAACAATATCTTCATAGAACTGAATAGGAGACCAAGCCTTTATCTTGAAATTAAATGCATTACTCAGATTGTGACCAAATCGCTCCATTATGAACTCAGGCACCTTGTCAATCACCCGGACATCATTTTTTAAGCGTTGGATAAAGTAATCCTCATCATAAATATCACTAAATTTGCTGTATAAAAAAATAGATGTAAGTAGCTTTATTTGCGTTGTATCAAGCAAAAAACATGTTATTAGTTGGGAGATTTTATCATTTGGCATGTCACCGGATAACAAAAAAGGTTAATTATTTTCAAAATGACCAGAATGTTAACAAGAGGTTTACGAATGAAACCACAAACCATGCACATAATAGATGTTAGAGAAAGATGAGCATATGTACGGTGGTCTTTCAAGTGGCTTACTGATATAAGCTAGCACTTTAAAACTCAGTATTCAACTCAATGAAGTATCAGAAATAAAAAAACTAGCAAATGTGCCCACAGCTTGTGGCGCGGTCACTTGGATGATTTGTGGCAGGGAGATTTATTTAATGATCACGTCATCTGTTCTAATACGTCTTGGAATCGGACTCTGTAAGGTTGCTGGACACGTCTTGGAATCGGGCTCCATACCGTTGCTGGACGCACATTTCGGTGAGGCCCGAACAACATCGTACCGGTCAAAAAATTCGGTCCAATTTGAATTTTTTAGTCTAGTCTAGTTCAAACAAGACCTTCCTTTGATATAAAAGTGCAAACCTATCAAGCTCTAATCCATTTGTTTCATCCTCATGCCTTTAAGTTAAGCTGTGAACAAATTCAGCCAAATATCATCTAAACGTGAACATTTTGACCAGTCATCACAAACTGAATTCAGGTCTGAATTTTCTGAAATTCACTCTTTTTGGATGGGTACGAAATTTTTCTTGTTTTGAATCCAAGAACCCTGGTAAGGACTACTACAGTTGGTGTTAGTTCTGACTATTTTGGGGGTGATGATAAATTCAACATTCAGAAACTAACCCAAGGATGCAATGACAGGAATACAGAGATAATGAAAGGACACATAAAAGTCAGTAGGAGAGGGAGCAACACCTGGGATCCCTCCAAATACTGTGATAGTGGAAGTTTGGGATTACAAGAGTTGCATTCAGAAAACCGGCAACAGCAACTGCATTGCAAATCTGCAAAGCAATTTTTTAAAAAACAATAGGAATGAAATCAGCAAACAGGATTACAACGTAAACTATACAAAGTGATAATGGTGATGAAGGCCCTCAGATGGAAGCTAAATACCGATGTTCGTTGTTGATTCAAACCACCATTAGCCTCAATGTATATGTAGCCATTTGATTCAGGCAAACCTACCAAAGTTAATCAAATATCATTATATACTTCCCTCAAGATAAAAATGCATAATACAAAATGGCACCTCTTAATAAAACACACAAAATAGAATGATATGTAAAAGTAAAGTAAAATATGTCATCCACAAAATATAATATTGCAATCCAAAGGTTCACATGCGTCTATCAAAAGCTCATTAGCAATTTAGCATTAAGTGTACTTGCTCATAAAATGTACTATAAGCAGAATGCTCAAAACCTGAGCTACACTGACCTCAGGACATGCACCAGCCAGGTCTGGAAATGCCAGACCTTGCTCTTTAGGCCAGCCAAAGGCCAAAATAGCCCAATAATATTGATGAAAATATATATCTTAGACAATCTTCGAACATTTTAATAAGAAATACAATTCAACATAAGGCTCAAGCCTATGTTGTGATGTAAGTTGTGATACAGAAATGACTGCTTAGAATGTTCCATTTTTTTGTGAAAAAGATATTTTAGAAGCCATAAACCTACAACTGATGAGCCAATAAAAGGTACCATATGCATGCACCTTTGGCACTTGGCTATACACAACTGCACATAAGATCTGTTAAACCGGTTCATCATGAAATAATCAGGCAACCCAAACAAGAAAACATTGAATGGTAATTTGAGGAATGGCTAGCTTCTTTCAAAATCAACATACCAGCATGAATAGACTACCATTTGAAATTAGAAATATCGACAAACAGTCCCAACCTGTGAATTATTAAAAACGACTTGCAAAATGAAAAAAATGGCGTACCGTTGGTATTATTGCTTATGCAAGGTCTCCAAACACCACCTCTGTAAGCATGCCGCCATACAGTTGCTAGCTACAAAAGTTAGCAGTATCACTATGAATAAAATGAAACACAAATACAAAACATCCACACTGAACTTAAGAAAAACATGCAAATAGGTGCAGGACAAGTTAAAATGACAATTTCCAATCAATAGAATAAATAAAACAACAATTTTCTACCATGCAGAATATACTACACTTTAACATCTGACACTGACACCTGATGCAAACTAATACAACAAATCCAATAAACAGTAAAATATCATTACCCCAACCCTAAACCATTCCACAAGGGCAGACAAAATGTTGCATAGTTTTACACACCAGATGTGAAGATAGCATAGCACATATGCCTTCTTACCGAGAGAGTTAGGTACAAGGGTATTGATACAACAACACGGCAGATGCATATGTTATTATCTGCCATAGACATAGGCCATTTCCCTTGAACTATAGGGAAATTAGAATATCACTTAGTTATCCTAAGATACCGAGTATCTAGGAGTTGAGAAGGTAATTTGATTTACAAAAGTTCCATGCGTTTGAATAATAATCTCAGGAAACTTGTTCTGTTTTTGAACTATAATGAATTTGGCAATTCATCGAGAACAATGTCAAGCATTGAGGGTGCTATAACCGCAAAAAAAAAGGATTAAAAACACAAATGGGAGGTATTACACAAATCCTCTGTAAGGACCATGCAAACACATAAACCTATGTATCTTGCAACATGTTTTTGAACTATACACAAAAAGGTGATATGTAAAGACAGCATGCGTATTATCGGTCACACCAGTTATTCTGACAAAATTCCCATGTCTCTGACCAAGCCAACCATTGTCTGTTGATTGAATAATATTCCATGACCCCCACAATCTGAAGCAGGTATCAACTGGTGAAATGTCATTGGTTTGGTGCTGTCATTCACTCCACACATGCCCGAGCTAGCTTAATAAGAAATATAAAATCGGTACACCACACATACTTCTATGAGTTTACTGCCATTCTCCAACAACTAGAAGATAACTTAATCCAGAATTTCGACCAAATCAGCCGTCACTAGAATAATCAGAACAACGACTACTGTTCGCAATCACACTTCAGTACTTCACTGTCTCTGCTCGGTTAGTTAACATGCTCAATCTTAGCTGTATCAGACCATCCAAGTACGGAACACCAGAACTTTGACATCCGAGCAAGCTTTAAACCCACGAATCAAACAAAACAACCAAATACTTCCATCACAAGCATAAATTCCCAGTCCAGTAGATGGGGGCGCCGATGCGCAGGAGTCACTTACCGCGTCGGTGGCATTATCGGCGTCCATATCGGCGCGGAGGCGGGCGTAGAGCTGCGGGCTGCGGTACACTGACCCGGGCGCCGGGCGCGAGATGATGCGGGGCACACTGTCGAGCGAGATGGAGCCCATGTAGAGCAGCATCGCCGCCACGTACAGCAGTGGCGCGAAGAGGAACACCGCCTGCCGCCGCAGCAGCGCCGCAAGCACCGCCCGCGCCACCCTCCGCACCGCGCCCCCGCCCCAGCCAGCGCCCGCGCTGGCCCCCGCCGACCATCCTCCCTTCGCCGAGGCCCTCCTCCCCCACGCGCGCCGCGGCGACGACGGAGGCGACAGCATGGCCGCCCCGGCCCCCGAGATGCCCAGCCGGCTGTACGCGTGGTTCTGCATCGAAACCTCCGGGCCCGGGACCTCCTAGTAGGGGCGACCTGGCGCCGCCCGGGCTCTGAGCTGGAGTCCAGAGCTCGAGATAGGGCTTCTCCCACGTGATCGCGCCTCCGCGGCGGCGTGAAGCGGGAGAAACGGAGGGGACCGGCGGCGGGACGGCGGCGCTGCGCTTTTGCGGAGCGACGGCGGGGGCGCACGTGCGCGGCGCGTGACCGCGTCCGCGTGCGCCGTGCGGGCTCGGGGCTCGACTCGATCGCTCTCGCCTCTCGGGTGGGGTGGCTGCCTCAGTGCTGGTTAGTGGCCCGGTGCGGTGGCCGGTGGGGGTGGTGGTTTCGGTGCGTCGGATTTCAGAAATTTTGTGCGCTGACCGGGGATATTTGGCTTTTTGGTTTTGTTCATTCGGGGGCGGCGCCCCAAGCCCCCAAGGAATAGACTGACGTGGATTTGGTCATTTGGAAGGTCTAACGCTTGGATTTGGGGGAGGCGGGCGGCTTTATCTCGCGTGGGTGGCGGATAGTTGTGTTTTTGGGAGTAGGTGCGCTGCGATCTCGCTCGCCTGCGTCGTGATGGGAACAAGGCGGTCTCACGGTCATAAGATGCTGAATGCGATGGGGTGGAGGTACGGCATGGAAGTTGGAAAGGTTCCTTGGTGGCTTCGCCATCATGGGCTATCAATGATCATTCGTTAGTGAATTGACAGGGACTGCTTAATCACCTCACCACATGACGGGTAAATTGTATGCATTAATTATGCAATTGTCGCTAAATTCACGTGGCTCGTCAATATCTGTATAAGTTTTATAATATAATTTTATAGGCACCGAATAAGCTATTCACTTAGCAAATATCTTGGCATGGTACAATATAAATTAAAAGAAATGATCAAAGTTCCATAAAACTGGAGTTTTATGGGAATGAAATTAGTCTATATTGTCCGCAACACGTGTGAGTCTTCAAAACTGAGACATGAAACTTCCAACTAACCTTACGTATTACTCATATAATTTTTTATTAGAGTATATATGGACTGTTTTTAGCATGGTTTTACAAACAGCAATGCTCTCATGATGGTCCGAACGGACGGATGCGGCTTCCCCACTCGCTATCGCGCGTCCACTCGCTCCCGTCCGCACCGCTTACGAAAAAAATAATCGCGTGCTACTGTGTTTTGCCTCCACCGCGCATCCACCCGCCGTGCCAGCACCACATTGCTCGCTCGTCGCGGCCGCCTTCACCGAGCCGGCGAGCCTCCACGACGAATGCTCCAGCAAGCAGGCGAGGAAAGGAGCTTCATGTGACGTCACCTCGCAAGCAGTTGCTAGCGTCGCTGCTGCACCAACAACCTCCACGCACTATCGTTGACCTCCCGCGCCGGCGTCGAGCTCCACAACGACGAGCTTCTATTCATCCAAGCAGCAAGGCAACATTGCACAAAAAAACGCATATTGCAAGCATACGTTTTAAGTGTTTCATATATTTCAGAGGTGTGTTGTAAGTGTTTTATATGGATGTTGCAAAGTTAGATCCGGATGTTGCACATGTTGCAATGGCTATACACGTTTGTTGCAAATGTATGTTCAAAGGTTTCATTTGTTTTTAGATGTATGTTTGCAAGTGTTTAATATGTATGTTGCATATGTTTTACACATTTGTTGTAGTGTGTTTATCTGAATGTTAGATATGTTTTTGCAATAGCTTTTCAAGTGTTTTCACGTGTTTTTTGCAAGTGTTCCATCAGTCTTCAGACGTATGTTGCAAATGTTTTATTTAGATGTTTCAAAAATAGATCGGGTGTTACGCATGTTGCAATAGCGCCGGTGGCTTGCCACCACCTTCCCTTGTTCGCGAACTCCCTGACTAGGCAACCAGCGCCATGGCTCTGTCGTGGGTCACCAGTAGGCAGTAGCTCCGGTGTCCGGCCTCCCAGGACGACGCAGTCGAAGGGGATGGCGGTGCAGCCTCCCGAGACGACGTAGTAGAGGGGGATGGCGGTGCGGATGCGGGGAGCGGAGGTGGCGCAGGCGAGAAGCAGAGCGGGGACGCGCGTTCCAACGGGAGACGCGGGTCTGTGTGATGTGGAGCAGCAGACGCCGACGTTCAAACATTCGGACGCTAGCCATGCCCTTTTACAAATATGATTTCAGCGTGCCATGTCAATGCAGTTTCAAACCTAATTGCGCATGAGGCACGCGGACTGTGGAGGTGCCACGTTACCGACAGCCAAAGGCCCACATGCCTTCCTTCGTCCTGATTTCTGATCCCTCGTGGAGGCGTTGAGAAGCAGGTTTGGATGCGTTGAGAAACAGGTTCTCGGATTGATCTATTTCGTTGGCCATATTCGCTGGAAGGAATTTGGAGAATCTGAATAAATTTAGATGAATTTATGAGAGAGTGAACAGTTTTTTCAGCTATGCACAGTATATTCTGGCTGAATTCCAGGGCAGCCGAACGGCCCCGTCGTGTCAAAGTTTTGTCTTGAGTGCCATGACATTCTTTCCAGAATACTCCTATGTCTGTCCACATGATGAAGGAAAGAAGTAGCAAAAAGTGTTTTGCTCTCGGTACTCTCTTTACTCCATCCACCCTAAAATATATCCACCTCGATTTTCAAGTAATCAAACTATTTAAATTTAATATAAAATCGTATTAAAATATACCTGTTATGAAAATGTATTCCACTGTTAACCTAACACTAATACTTATGCATCATAAATATTATGGAAAGCGAGATGTGTATTTCTAATTTTCTTTTTTAAATTACACATTACAGTGTAGATGCTCATATATGTACCCACACTCACTCCTATGAACATAGGTACCCAAACTCTACCTCTATGAGCACCTCCGAATGACGGCAAATTTCAAGATTTACGAAGTCAAGACAAAGCGTCTTGCTATTGAATATGATGTCGGCTACCACTAAAAGTAGCGCCGTTAAATCTTAGAATAAATCTAAAAAAATGCGAGCATCCATATCAAATCGATGACTTTAATCCAGATGGGTAGGTTGCGCCAGAAAGAATCCAATCAGTTCACAGATGTGTATTTCTAATACTGGGAGCACCGTGTATGTTGACTAATGATTAAAGGCTGATCAACAGGCTAAACATTCAAGAAGTATCAACAATCCTAAAATTGAACATAGGATATCAGCCCGTCTAGCTCAGTCGGTAGAGCGCAAGGCTCTTAACCTTGTGGTCGTGGGTTCGAGCCCCACGGTGGGCGTTGCATTTTATTTTTGCACTTCCTTGCCTGGCGTTGCAATATTTTTTTTTTCACCGTCATAGCTTCCTTGCCTGGCGTTGGCATGATTGGAGTTTTGGAGACGCCAGCAGGTATCCACTGTCCAGTGTCTCCTTTTGAGCACAGTGTACACCTGCACCCGCACAAGCGTGTTCGAGCCCCACGGTGGGCGTTGCATTTTTATTTTTGCACTTCCTTGCCTGGCGTTGCAATATTTTTTTTTTCACCGTCATGGCATGATTGGAGTTTTGGAGACGCCAGCAGGTATCCACTGTCCAGTGTCTCCTTTTGAGCACAGTGTACACCTGCACCCGCACAAGCGTGTGTTAACTAAGTTGTCAGCGAATGATTTCACAACTAAGCAACAGTCAACCGAACTGAAGGAGTGAAGGGATCAAGTCGAACTGAAAGTGGTCGCTGATGACCAACGAGATTGTATCCTAATTCAACGATGACCGACGAGATACGTCCTATAGATCAACGAACAGGTTGTTTCAAGTCCGGGACCTGGAAAACGCGGCACCGACACAGGTTGGTGTTGGTGAACCGTGGTCTCATTCAGAGCAACACACTGAGATCACTAATAATTGATTCGAAACCAAGGAACTTGGCAATTAGGGTAGTTCCAATGAAAGAAACTACTCATGATTTTCCATAACAACCACGTCAGCAAGAAACCATCTATAAAAATCATATCACACAATGCAGGATTCTACCCCTAATAAATGTTCTTTTTTTTTCTTTCTCTCTCCTAAGTCCATCGTCATCCCCGCAGCACGTTTGCTCGCTACGAGCCTACACGGATGACCAGAGAGCAGCGTCTTCCTCCCAACGCCGCGGTTGGGTGACGGCGGCGCGACAGCAAGCGCGGAGGAGGAAGTCTCGTCACGGGCCCCACCGGTAGAAATCACTCGTTTCCTCCCAACGCCAAACTAGCGGTTTCTTGGTGCATAGGATGACGAGTAGACGTGGTTTCTCCTCTGAGAAACGGTTTCATCAAATTTCTCTCTTTCTTCATTAATTAGATTGCCACGTCAGATTTTTGCTGAGTTGGCAAGATAATTAATAGAGACAGAAACTACCATTAATATCCCATTAGAAGTGCCCTTACAAGCAAGCAAGCAGCAGGCTCGGCTATGTACTGAGTGGTTCTACTGGACTCTCCCTCCATGCACAAAGAAAATACTGTAGAATTTTGGTCGGAGTTCAAGTTTCAAAGGACTCGCTCTTTATTTGTGGCTTCGGCTGCAGCGACCAAGGGGAAAAAACTCCATCGTCTGACCCCACATTCAAAGCATAGGTATGTGGCCAGCTCATCTCACGGAGCTGTGGTGCCGTTGTGTATGGATGGGGTAGGGGTTTAGGGGTTTTCTCGATCTGCGTGAGAAGATCTTCTTCTTAAGTCGAATACGGGGGGCTGTCTAGCCACCACGGATCGTGTTTTTTCTTTTACGAATATAACATTATAGAATTTGTAGTAGAACTTAAGGATCAAACAAAATAATATGTATATATACCCTTCATAAAAAATAGTGGAAAATGATAAACAGTTCTGAACAATGTCAATATAATGTCAAACAATATTATAGTGTCTTTTTTATGTGACAATTTTTTAATTTTCTTTATGGGATGTATAGAGCATGAGCGAAAGCTACTCGTCAGTCATCACACCATGACACCATACGGACCAAAGCGGGAAACTATGGTCT